ATCTCTATCAGGGCCTGACACACACACACAAACAAACACACAGATATACATAAATAGATTGCACACACACACACACACACACAACACATTTATATATATATATATATATATATATATATATATATATATATATATATTATATCATTCTCTGATTGTGGTACCTGACTGCGTTTGGCCTCGTGTCTTGAGCTCTCATACAGCTGGACATTATCCAGGACCATCGCCAACACATCCATATGATTGGACAGCACCTGGCCAATAAAATATAACTAGTACTTAACTCATATTAATTGCTAGTAGATGGCAATTTGTCACTTCTTAACAAAATGTCTATATGGTTAGAATTAAAATGAGAGACAACCATACATTGAATAATAAGTAACATAAAATAGACGAAAGCGCCAACATTTGCTGCCCTGTAGTAACAGGCCCAAATCTCCTATCCCTCACCTTGTCATCCATGTTGGTGAAAACAGAAACTGATCCATCGCAGCCATTTCTCTTGTTGATCATTACCACTACACCTACCACCTGTCCACAAGGAGAAGACATTTTATTGTTTCACAATCCATGTTACGAACTCTGCTACAACATATCGACACTAATCCCACTGAAAGTTCCATAGAACTGTTATATATTTACCCTGATTAAACAAGAGGCATCTGCAAATAAAATGTTACCTCTCCCCTGTGGTTCTTGATGGGAACACTCAACACAGTCCTGATCTTTGATGATTGATCAAAGTCGACTTTGGGGTCCTGAGGAGGCGAACAAAGAAAATCTAAGTACATGACGCTGCAGACACTTACACTTAAGCACACCACAATTGTGTGTGAAACATGTGTACAGCACCATTGTGTATATTAAGATCTTTTTACAATTTATGTAATTCATACTCCTGTGCCCTTAAACTACCTGGTGTTCATCGTCTTTACACACATCTGACATTATCAGGAACTACCCATCCACACCCACGCTGACTGGGGATTACTTGGTGTGCAACTCTGTCAGGCTGTCACAGGTCTGCCTGTCTGCCAGGTGCTAATTCTGATCTCTGCATGTCTTGTTAATTGTTTGACTATGTTTGTTCTGTTTTCTGCCTGTTCTGTGTAGTTATTGTCTACTGTGTTATCTTGTCTGCTCTTTCTGTGGTTTCTGTATCTGCATGCTGGCCTTGTAATAATAATAATAATAATAATAAATTTTATTTATAATGCACTTTACATTTCAGGGAAATCTCAAAGTGCTACAACAACAAGGGGTTAAAAACAGTTCCAGAAAATAACAATCGCAATAAAACACCGTAACTAAACATTTGTCTGTGTTGGTTGTGAACCTTGGTTTATCTTTCAGTTGTGTTTTGGGTTTCAGCCCTGTCTGTATGTTGTCTTGTGTTCTGTGTTAGTTTTTACCTCTGCCTGTTTGATGTTAGTCTGTTCTGTGTTTCTTGTTTCAGTCTGTTGTCCCTGTTATGTTTTAGTCTATCTGTATTATTAGTTTTGCAGTCTACTCAGTGACTTTAGTGCATTTCAGTTGGTTTCCTGTTTAGTTTGGTGTTGATCTGTGCCTGTCATTCTGTGTTAGCCTGCTCTTTTCTGTTCAGTTATCTTAGCCTGTTCTGTCTTGTTGTGGAGTTGCCTGTTTCTGTCTTGTCTGTTCTGTGTTTTGAGTTCCAGTTAGATTCTTGTCTTGTGTTTTGTAACCTGTGTTCTGTCTGTTCCCCCCTGCTAATCCTCTCTGCCTGCCTGCATGACACATGTCTGTGTCTGGTCATTGTCGTGTGTAGCTTGTCCTGCCCTGCCTATTCTCAGCCTGTTCTGTGGATATTTGGATTTTGTACCCTTTGGATTTTCTGTTGGGATCACGTTGTTTCGTTTTGACTGTTATTATTTTGGATTATTTTGGACTCAGCCGCTCTCAGTAAGTGTGCTCGCTTTTGTTTTGCTTGAATAAATCATCACACTATATCTGCTCAGCCTTCATGTCCTGCAATTGGGTCCTAAAACCTCCTCCACACATCACCTCCTGTGACACAGGCATTGGCACTGGTTCCTAATTACATTGGTGGTGAGGACAAGGAGGGTGTGTGTGAGTACTCATAGGACCTTAAGTGTGCTGTGCCATCCTCCCTCTTTGCTCGGTTGCATGCAAGGATAAGTGTAGTAGGGAACATCAGCGTCTCAATAATCAGAGGTTAATCAGTCAACTAAGTCTCTAAAAGGATTAGAAGCAGGTGCGTCATCTAGGATTCCCTTACACAGAATCCCACACTCCACGAAACAACCATGTCATCGTCTAAAAACAGGTTATCGGGAACTGGGTGACTCATTTAGCTTACAGTCATCTATCCTTGTTTGCCATTTCTGAGCCCTTTGTCAATACCTTTGTCATGTTTAGAAACTTAGGTCAACTGTCTGTTGAGCAGAGCTTATTACAAAATGCAGTCATGATAACGACAACTTGACTGCATGTGTCAGACTGATGGTTTACCTCTGTTTCTCTCAGGTTCACTGGAGACCCTGTAGCCAGTACACGTTCCATGATACCCTTCAGCAGCTCCAGCTGTGCATGGCTGCAGAGGTTTCCTTCGCCCAAGCACCCCAATTCTGTCGGGGCGATTACCTCCTCCAAGGTGTTCCTTCCACCACAGTCTTTATTAACCAGAGAGAGGGAGCAGGCCTCGGCTGCCAGCAGCTCTCCAGCATGCTGGACAGCCCCATGGCAGAGCTCTGCTATGGAACCAATCCAGCTCAGACCTCCTCTTAGGAGCTCCATCATCCATGGGCAGCACTCACCATGACCACAGGCTGCAGTCTTGGGACACAAAGGCTGATGGAAGCGGGGTAAGTCAGGGGAGCAAGGGCATATGGGAGAAAGAGGACGGCAGGGGGAGTATGAAAAGCGTGAAGTGCGGGGAGAGCAAGGGGAGTGACTGCCCAATAAATCTGGACTGGAGCGATCCATCCACTCAGGGGCAATGAGATTGGAAGCGAGGGGTCTGAGCCTGTCCGTTAATGATGAAACATGTGAGCTGGTCAGTGGAGAGGAAGCCCTGCGATGATGAGCCTTCATGACCAGGTCAGAGTGGTCCGAGCTGCTCCTGTGAAACCTGGGCAGCAGTGGAGACATCTCTGCCTGTGGACCACTGACCCAGAAGTCATATACAAGAGAGATTACAATAACTAATTTGGTGGGAAAGCACAAATCAGAACATGAAGAAGATGAACATTTCCTTACTGCAACAATGTTTCTAAAGCAGATTTATAACGCCAGACTTTCTTGGCTACAGTCAATATCAACAGCATACATTATAAAGTACAAAACTGAGGGCTTTTCAAAGAAATGTGTCCATATATTGAGTTAGAAACGGTTATGGTGTAAAATATCTTACGAGGAAGCTCGGCGTAAAAAGTACGCCCTCGTGAAGTCGGAGTGGTCATCCAGCCAGGCCTCCACCTGGTCGCTTTTCACACTGTCTCCAAACCTCCTGCGGTGCGTCTTGGAGCGGGGGCTCCACAGCGGGGAAAAGAACCAGCCCATGCCCGCAACCATCGGCGGCTTAGCCACTGTTTCCCTGCGGAAGGACTCCTCAGTCTCGGCGGCAGGAGATGCCACGGGGGTCGCGCTGCCAGGCTCCATAGACTCCGGCGCTTCAGAGTGGAGGCATGGCATCCCCTCGCTCAAGTAAAGCGAAAAAAGATCTACTAAACTCAGTTTGAGTTTGTGTGAGTTCTCTAGGAGAAACGCATGCCATGTAGAGTAAGAGTAAGTGAGGCAGACTGAAGTGACGCGTGAGAGAGGAGAGCGATGTCTATGGAGCAGCCCGTGGAAACGACTGCGTCAAGGTAATCCCCTGACCTTTCTTTAGCCGATCTGGCGCCACAGGTTTACTCATTAAAGGGAATTAATGTGAACTTATTCACATAATTAATGGACTGGCTCCAGCCTTGGGCTTTGCTTCATTAGGAATTTGCCCATAGGTGTGTCCCACAGTCAAATCTTTGGCTAAGTGTATTAAGTTACCTGAATAATGTTTGAGTTTGTGACCTATGTATTAGTGACCTTATCGTGATTGATTTCTGCTGTGAATGCACACACACATATCACTTGCTTGCCCCTATCACTCACTGGGAATAATCATGATAGAATTGAACTAATAGAATTGTACAGGAATTAAATAAATAAATGACAAATCAAAATGTTGCACTTCTTGCACTTGGGTGAGAAATTTTTACTTTACTCATAGGTCATAATGTGTGTCTTAAAAACAAGACACTAAGCATTTTCCAGTCGTAAACACTGGTGGGTAGCATTATAGATTAATATAGCTTTGCTTGAATTGGACTTGTAATCTGCAACAGTCAAAACATCTGAAAATAAACTTAAGGCCTTACCTATATTTTACTGTTTTTGTTGTTACAAAAGAAGCCTGCACCAAAACATGCACACATCCACAGTAAACAGGCAACCAGTGTTCAATGTTAGTACTGTAGATGGTAGTGAGGTGTGACCTCACTGCATGCAGGGAGTGGAGTACAGGAATGGCGGTAATGAAAAGGTTCTGAAAAGAGATGTCAGATTTGTTTTTGCTTTTTAAGAAGTCTTGAAGATGGTCACATAAGGGCAGCATGACAAAGAATATGTCCATGTAAGAAACAGGGAGGAACATAAGCCTATGGTCAGACCAAGGTTTTTTGTTGAGGGAATGCCAAACAGTGCTGTGGAAAAGGCTTATTAAACCATTATATTTCATTTAACTGATGGGCTGCCTCTGAGATAGCCAGATAACACTGTTGTGTGTGAAGAGAAACACAAATCGATCAGGAAATTGGTGTGTGAGCATTTAATTTAAAGCATTGCTTTTGTGTTGTAATTAAAGTCTTCCCTTTTTTAAAACCCTAGATGTTATTCAGAATTTTACCAGGGCTCAGCCACACACCTCTCAGTGTCTAACTGCTCCCTCTGCTGGCCTCTTTCTCCGTTATCATCTGCAGTGGGTGGATCCACGACTGACAGCTGTGCTGTGATTGGCTGCTCCAGGAGGAGGCTGCCATGACACAGTGGATGCTGCACAGAATCAGTTCCACAGCATCACCAGGCAGCAGACCTCCATCCTCCTCGTTATCCCTCTCTCCTTCTCTTTTTTCTCCTCCTTTGCCTCTCGTCCTCTCACACCAACCTTGCTCTCTCTTCTCTCTCCCTCCTCCTCCCCCTCGGACAGGCAGACAGACAGGCAGGAATAGCAGCAGCAGCAGCAGGCGGACTGGTAGGTGTGCTGAGGCCTTTCTCCCTCCTGCAGCACAGGCAAGACATTGCGTTCTCCTCTGATCTCCGTCAAGGACTATCTATTTGAGAAGTGTGTGTGTGTGCGCGTGTGAGAGCAGGGATCTGGAAAGTAGGCAGAGAGGACTACCACACCTTGGGAGCATTTACTACCACTGCAGGAGCTACACTGGGTGAATGTTGTGGATATTTTCACAAACACACATCCTGTCCATCTTGTGCTTGTTTCTGTTTTCATATTTTATATTTTATATGGGCTGTTTGTTGTTTTTCTACAGCTGTGGGATTTGCTTCCACATGGAATAGGCCTTGTGCGTCTGCACACGTGTCTTTGCTAATGAGTGTGTTGAATGTCTAACAAAGGTCACTCCATTTGGCATGCTGTGTGCACATATTGTCAGCCTGCTTAATGACAGCCCTCCTCTTTTCTTTCCAAAACTGACTTCATCATCAGCCTTTGCATCCACTTCTTCCTGCCTCGCATCTTCTTCCTCACCAGTTTTCCATTCTTGTGCATCTTCTTTTCCTCAAAGTCCCTTTCCCCTTTCTATAAAACTCTCTTTCTCCTCCCTCTCCATTCTTGTCTCCCATCTCATCGTCACGCCTCTTCTCCTTCCGGCCGGCTGGTTTCCCAGGATGCCTTGTTCCAGGCTGCTCCGCTAGGCCGTAGCAGCATGGGCGGAGGCTGGGTGGGGAGAGAGAGCACGGATCGGACCCTTCCCCTCAGGACGGGCGCGCTGGCGGGTCACCCTCCCTCGGCTTCAGATGGGCGAGGACGCTGAGAGCCCCAAAATCAACCACACCTTCCTGCGAGACTACGTCACTGAAGGTAGAGCAGCCGTTGTGTCATTGCCGTCTCTGTGGTGTCAGATAACATGCTGGTATGATTGGATGGATTCATTTCAGCTTCATGGGTGCATTAAAACCTGCACTGCTGAATATTGGGAATGAATGTTGGCAATAATCACTCCATGACTTCCTGAACGTTCCTTTAGAGTCACTGCATTGTTAGGCCTATTTTACATATTAGATATGATTTTGACATTGTATTCTATAAATAAATGTTTGATTCATGGTCTAAAGACCTGGTAGCTGGTGGCTTCTTGTTGCTATTGTGAATGTTTCTATGTCAAGGGTTTTTCTGGGTTTTTTTTGAACAGGATACTATGGATTGATCCAGTATTCTTTCATTCCCACCCTCTTCCCACATTTGTCTCTTAATTATCTGCCCCTCATTTCCTCTGTGCCTACTTAATTTCCTTTCTATTATATCATCTCTTTAGCTCCCACCCACCCCAACTTCTTGTATTCTAACCACTATCCTGCTTAATCTCGTCACATTTTCCCTTCTACCTCCCAGCTGATGTTATCTCTACGGTGGAGTTTAACCAGACAGGGGACCTTCTGGCCACGGGGGATAAAGGTGGCAGAGTGGTCATCTTCCAGAGAGAAACTGAGGTCGGTTTAACTTGTTAAACTTGAATCATCCCCATTCTACACAGGATATCCACAAACAGCATGAATTAATATTTATTATCTATACCCTAATCACAGCAGTCTCTTTGTCCTAAGGGTATGTTGTTCCCATTGTATCCTTATACAAAAATGTTAATTCAAAGCTGTGTTTTCTTCACCATTTGCCCTCGACAGTCTAAAGGGGAGTCAGAGGAGGCGGGGGAGACAGGGGACTCTGGGGAGTACAATGTCTACAGTACGTTCCAGAGCCACGAGCCAGACTTTGACTACCTGAAGAGTCTGGAGATTGAAGAGAAAATCAACAAGATCAGATGGCTGCCACAGCAGAATGCGGCACATTTCCTCCTCTCCACCAATGGTGAGAAAAAAGCGACACCAGAAGATCAGCCAGATTTCTAATCCCCAGTTAGGATGAAGCACAACTAGTAGACCGGTATGCAGTTGGAACCATGAGATATCAATCTTGAATATGCATGGATTGATAGTAGAAATTAATTTATAAATAATTCCCAGCATTGGGTCAGCCTGGCTTCATCTTCTATGACCTACTGTGGGTGGGATAGTGTAACATCAAGCCAGTCACTGGAGTCACAGTTGTGGGTACGGTGTTGGGACCATCCTGCCAGTGTGAAAACCCCACAATCTAATCTGTTCTTTAATTATGTGCTGTCACAATACACAATTTCCCTGAAATGGGGTGGTGATGGTGTATAGATAAGATGCTTGACTTTGGTGTGGGAAACCTAGGTGCGATTCCCACTATGAGACATCCACCATTGTTTCCCTGAGCAAGACACTTAACCCCTAGTTGCTCCAGAGGCGTGTGACCTCTGACATGTATAGCAATTGTAAGTCGCTTTGGATAAAAGCATCAGCTAAATGAATAAATTTAATGTAAATATGTGTGACAAGGATCGTGTTTTGAAGAATTGTATTTCATTTAATTTGCAACATAGTTTCTTCGCTAAAGTACAATTTCCATCTACACTAAAGACTTACCTGGATTGCCTTAGAAACTGGCCATATGAAGAAGAAATCATTATCAGGGCTCTTCTCCACTGACTGTTGATGTGATGGCTGTTTAAATTGTCTGTAGCATTTATTGTCAGCTATATCTGAACTTAATCAACTTCCTGTGATGTGCAAATCTTTCTCCCCGTCACAGATAAGACCATTAAACTGTGGAAGGTGAGTGAGAGAGACAAAAGACCAGAGGGATACAACCTGAAAGATGAGGAGGGACGGCTCAAGGACATCTCTACCATCACCTCTCTGCAGGTGCCTGCACACGCACGCACACGCACACACACAATATCTGACTGACAAAATTAAAGGTGTGCATATGCAGGCTTGCATGTGTATGTATCAGGTTGACATTCGATTGGCAAGCCCAGTGTGATCCCTGACTCCTGTTTGTCTTTCTTTGCTGTCGCCCTTTTCCTTACCCCGCTCTTTCTGTCCATTCATTCTTTCATTACTCCTTTCTATCTCTGTACCTAAGGTGCCAGAGCTGAAACCTACAGATCTGATGGTTGAGGTTCGTCCTAGACGAGTGTTCTCCAATGGTCATACCTACCATATTAACTCCATCTCAGTCAACAGCGACGGGGAGACCTACCTGTCTGCTGATGACCTCCGCATCAATAATTGGCACCTGGGCATCACGGACCGCAGCTTCAGTATCCTTCCTAACAGTGATATATATATATTTTTTTTTTTACACATTTCATACACATTTCATGTTTAATTCCACCATGCGCATAAACATCATTCTCTGCTCTCTATGACTCTATGATTCTCTGATTTTTGTGTGTAATGTAATCCTTTACTGGAGGAAACGACTCGGATTTCACAGGGTATGAAATTCCCAGAGCTTCACTTAATAAAAGTACAAAGTAGATCATTGTGGCTATCTTTTTCGCTGTTATGAAAGCATTAGCGTGTGTCTAATTCTGCAGCAGCAATCTGAAAATTCTAGGAGCATTTAACATTAAAATCAATTTCTGGAACAGGAATAAGAAACAAAAGAAGAGTTTTATAGCAGAAACTTCCAGTGCACGTCACTGAGCCTTTTCCTATAGTTTGGTGAAGTTAATAATATGAAATACTTAGTAACTTGCCTAAAGGACATCTATAGTTGTCAGTGAATCTTTGTATTGAAAACAACAATGCAATAAATCCTATCTGTTAGTGTGCATGAATTAATATCGTTGACTGACACCACATGCAGGTGCCAAAATGTCCACACATGCTCTCTGATGCTGTCTGAAGCAGATTCACATGGGCTATATTATACATACATACAGAATGACATGCTGCCCTAAAGAAATGCCTACCTTTAAAATCTATTGTGCATAATTTGTCAATTTTACCATGCAGTGCCATCTACTGATACCAGTTTGAACAGCAAAACCACATGTCTAAACTTCATCTCATACAAACCTGTATAACAAATTAATTTATCTTGTACCATGCTTTAAACATAGCTATCACACACAGAATTCCACCTCTTGAAATATGCATACAGTCTGAACATACTTTACATTCCTGCTCATCTGAATTCATCCTGGATCTATATTTAATGTAAACAGTGCATGGCTATGTTTGGATTCATGTTTCGATTAGTGCTGAGTACCGCCTCAGCACAGGCTGCAGCGTGTTGAACGGGGTGCCATTTGTGATTTCCGATTCAACTGGAAGCCTGACCTAGAAAATCATAGAGGCATCTATGGAAAAAGAGTTTTAATAATTCACTCAGCAGTACACTTTCTACTGAACCACACAGGACTACCACAAATAGAACAGAAAGGGGAGCAGAGCGCACATGCATATTGGGGCTTGGTTGGGGAGCATCTTTTTGGGTTGTGATTATTAACTGAGGCGTAAGCATGGAGAACATGCTGGTTCTGAAAAAATTAACAACTATTATAACATATACACCATGTGCATAGTCATCATAATTTGTCAGTTCTCAAATGCCTTTGCTGCGTTTGCCACCTCCCAATGTGGTGTTTAATCCCTAACAGACCTTTTTCTCAGATATTGTGGACATCAAACCAGCCAACATGGAGGATCTGACCGAGGTGATAACATCAGCAGAGTTCCACCCTCACCACTGCCACCTGTTTGTGTACAGCAGCAGCAAGGGCACCCTGCGCCTCTGTGACATGAGAGCCTCTGCACTCTGTGACAAACACACAAAACGTGAGCATGTTGTGGAGATTAGAGAGGTTAGTTGGATCAATAACATTTTGCAACATACAGTTGAGTGTGTGTGTGTGTGTGTGTATATACCTTACAGAGTTTGAGGAACCCGAGGATCCAGGGAGCCGGTCCTTCTTCTCAGAAATCATCTCTTCTGTGTCAGACGTGAAGTTCAGCCACAGTGGACGCTACATGCTGACGAGAGACTACCTCACCGCCAAGGTGTGGGACCTGAACATGGACAAGGGCCCGGTGGAGACGTACCAGGTGAGGTGGCACATCAGTCTCCTAATCTGTCTTTTACCACGTTAGTTACAATCTGTATTACCTGTGCTGATTGACTGTGTGCCCACAGTCTAGTTATGTAGCCTGTGTTTGTCACGTTTGCCTTGTTTTTGGTCACATGGCAAATTATATTTTGCTGACATTTTGTAGATGAAATGATTAATCTAACAGTTAAGGATAATTGGAAAATCATTGTTAGTTAAAGACCTATGTTGTCAGGGGTTGCTTAATTTTGGTATCACATCTAGAAACACAGTATATTATATGCGATAGAAGAGTAGGAGGAAGGAGATGAATATGCTGCCAGAATTTGAACGCATGAGGTTCGTTGCATGTGGTCGATCAACTGAACTACCCTGTATAATACTGAATCCACCCCAGATACTAAGGTTGATTGTCTGCATGATCCCCAGGTCCATGAATACCTAAGGAGTAAGCTGTGTTCCCTCTATGAAAATGACTGCATCTTTGACAAATTTGAGTGTGTTTGGAACAGCTCAGACAGGTAAGTGATAAGATAAAATGGAGAAAAAGATGGACAAAGTACAGTATATTTATGTCCATTTAGAAGCTAAGGAGCGTATTGCATCTGTGTGTTTCTGCTGACATTGATTCTCTAAATGCTCGCCCTCTGCCGTTATCTGACATTTAAATCAATCCCAGACACAAGCTTTACAGACATCAAATCAATCCCAGTGGCTTCAATTTTGTTTTCCTCTTTTCCACTTCCTCACCCTTCCCTGAACCTCTCTTTTCCATTTGCATTGCATTTACTTGCCCTTCTCAATATGACATCTGTCCATATCTCCCCTCCTCTTCTCAGTGTGATCATGACAGGGGCATACAACAGCTTCTTCCGGATGTTTGACAGGGAGACGGGGCGGGGTGTGACCCTGGAGGCCTGGCGAGAAAGCAGCAAGCCTCGGGCCGTCCTGCGGACCCGGCGTGTGTATACTGGTGGTAAGCGTCGCCGTGGAGATGTGGGCGTTGATAGCCTGGACTTCACCAAGAAAATCCTGCACATGGCTTGGCACCCATCTGAGAATATCATTGCCATAGCAGCCACAAACAACCTGTACATCTTCCAGGATCGTGTCAACCCTGAGACGCAGGCACAGTGACTGCAATGGGAATATGGACAGTGACACTCTGCTTTTATCAGAAACACAAACAGTGAACTAAATGTATTTAGGAGAAGACACTGGGAGTGGACAGCCTTTATGAAAAGATTAAGTCGAAGCTAAGCTGTTACAGAACATACTAAGATGCAACATCTGTTTGTGTTGATAAAAGATTGGATTCATGATAAAATGACAAGACTGTTAATTTATTTGATCCCCAAGGAAGGTGTATCAGAATTTTTGCTGAACCCTGAGGTGAACTGACTTCTCCACCACCCATCGGGATTTATTTATGGTCCCACTAGTCACTTTTTGAAGTTGTTTGTGTAAAAGAGGTGCAGGGAGACCTCTCCATCTGCAATCACGTAGTGCTGTTGACCAACACAATGTTGCACTCCTCACTGATGTGCTCTGGGGTCACAAGATGCATGTTAGGGAGCAACAGAAGAAGAATACACACATGCTACAAAAAGGTCTAGATTGCTGATTCACAGTGACATTGCCAGATTGTGCATCCAAATCTACGCATTTTTTCACTATTGTGGAACATTAGGAGTGGTGTTATTGTACAGCTCTTCACAACAACATCCTGCACCTTTTTTGTTCTGTATCGGGTGATAACCGCAGCTGAATGTCTCTTTAAGAGCAGTGCTCTTGGAGATTGCACGCATAGATGACCCATAATCTTTGCCCTTTTCACTTTGCAATAACGGCACTAACAAAGACACAGTGCAGCAGTATTCCTGCTTTAAAACATGAGCTCTTCTTCTACAGGTATACACTCTTTTTACTGTCAGCTGTAAATATTCTATGTTCTTTTTTTTAACGCGTTCCAGAGAGCTAAAAAGTAAAAGACGCATTTTGTCCAGCACATTGGAGATTAACCTAGAAGCTCATGCACTATTCCAGTTAAAGTCTCGATGTAGGGGGGCTTTTTTCTTGTAGCAGTACATAACGTATTGTTGGCTGTAGAGAGGGAGGGGGGACTAGTGCACAAAACAACTCTTACAGTTTAATTGTGTACATTAGGCCAGCATTGGGCTTTGAGTACTGTATTAAGGTCATTTCCTTGTCTAAAATCTTCATATCTAAATGATAAATAACTGAAAACCACAGTGACAGTTGAGCTCCTTCACATATGCTGAAATTGACCCTGATTGGTTATTAAATCTAATATAGACAAAGGTTTATGTGTTATGCTAATTTAAAATGAGCAGTGCTCATTTTATAATGCATAAGCACAATTTAAAGAAGAATCGTACAATCAAGAAAATCTAAGCACACTGTTTATAAATGAGGCCCCTGAATCAAGTATAAGTTTGTATCCAGTGTATTTGAAGGTCAAAGGTTATCATCACTGCAATAGCTCATTCTGTACGTCGCTAAATCACAGTAAAACATTAATGTCATGTGAACTGATCATATCACAAGTTCTTAATGTCATTACACCGTATACCTCACAGTGCCACATGCTACTCTTGAGTACGACAATGAATTTCAAGGATCTGTGGCAGTAAGGTGATGAGTGTCCGGACTGAATTGTATGACTTGGTCAAGATTTTATTGTTTAGGGTGTAGTGCTTTGTTTTCAAGTGACCTTGGCCCTGATGGGGTTTTTGTAAGTGGTCTGGAAATATACTGATGCAGGTGGAGAAATGGTATCAGTGCAATGAGGTGGAAAGTATTGAGGCACATTTTTCAAATTCTGACTGATGGAGCAACAACAGTTTCACTGTGTAAACCTTAAACCCCAAGAAAAAGAAAATTCTTGATCTATGTTCCACTTGTCTGCTCTCTCCTCATTTAGTGTCAAAATCACTGTTCACTGACATTTATGTCACAACCTGTGGGCTAGGGGTTTCTCTCTAACTATGTTTTGAATGCAGGCACGATCTTGCACTGATTGGTTTAAAAAAAGTGTACAAATTCCACAATGACAACAACACACAAGGAAATGGTTTACACAGTGACAGGCCACCTAAAGGCCACATAAAGTATTACACAAGTTCCAGGGCTCAGTCCTCCAATGGTGAGCTGTAGTTTAGGGGAGGTCAGTCGTAATCTCATAACCACCACCACCTCATACAACCAGTGAGAGGATTTTGTTCAGGAGCACAGCAGCAGCAGCATGTTGCCATTACTCAATGCTACTAGTGTGTATATCTATCATAATTTAAAAAAAAGACGAATCTAACAATACATAAAAAACATAACTCAAATGAGGTGAATGAAAGGAATGTGTATTAATAAATAATGTGAAATCTGACATAAACATGTGTTTTGTGTATCCCTTTATGTCTGTGTGTCTGTCTTTCATGGGATACCATTGTTTCCCCTTCACTACAATACTTTCAGACTTTGAATCTGAATAAAACCCTCCAAAAGTTTGTTTGAAAACAAGCACTTTAATAGTCATTGCACACTCCCATAAATACCATCACTAAATAAAGGTAACAGGTGAATAGTTTTCACCTTGTATGTGGCTTTTCATGCACTGCAAGTATCATCTTCTAATGTAGTTTAACAAAATGTTACTATTCTATGAAAAACATGTATCTCAAAGAAAGACCAGTTTTCAGCTTTGTGACTGCTTTTTTTTTTCAGATAATCAGACTTTAATAATTGATTTGTAAAATGTTTAGAATTGTGTCAACCCCAAAAGAAACACTTAAAATCCCCAAAATAGGGAGATACACTGTTTTCACTGAACAGTAATAAAAATGTATTATATATTATGTATTATAAATGTGAAATCATGACATTCAGGCACTCTGTGTACTGTGAAACACCACAAATAATTCCCACTACTGACTTCTATGTCTATGGAATGAACACAGTTCAATGTTTTGTTGGTTTGTCTACAGTGAGAGATAAAAATGAACCCTAGGAATTGACACACTCATTTAGTTTTGTTTCCCAGAGGAACACTCAACGTAGACTGTGAAAAATCACATTTAGAATTCGTTCATCTCTGTTAGTTAAATTCAGCTGTTACATGGTTTGGCCAAAAACCATATATAGTAAGATCCATCACAGACCATGACATCTTTAGCATTTTGGTGTGTGAGTGGGTAATATAAACCATGAAACTGAGACTTCAGCTACTTTGCGAAGAGTAAACAAGTGTGTGGGCTTAACATAAACAGCCTCCCTGCAAACATAAGAACATTTTTTATGTTGGCTTTTCAAATACCATTTTATGTGTGTATTTGAAGCTCAATGCACTGAAAATATGATCATTAATTACACATATGATTAAGATCAGAACGTTTTAAAACCACAAAACAAGAAACATTTGGCTACACCAGAAATATACTATTTTCAACCACACAATGTACATTTAGAAATGCACACATGTATACATACACAACGGTCAACACATACTATACATGCAACCATATTCCCCATACATGTAAGAAATTCCTTAATATAAAACATCCTTCACAACATTGCTCTCAAAGATACATTCCACTCTTTTAATTATATCAAATGTACTGTATCTCCAGGCATTCATAAGTGGTCAGCACCTGACAAATCAAATTACAGGTTTTTGTCCAGTTCTTAAAAACAATACAGGCATCTGACCATTCGTGAACTGCTTTAGAGGTACATGAAGTGAAGTAGCAAAATTGTTGTAAACTCAGGCACTAACAGGAAGTATTAACAGTATAAAATAATTTCCTAGAGGTTATCACCTTGTTGAAATTTCACTACATAAACATGAGCTGTAGATCCACATTGAATCAAATTGTAAACAATACTATAAGTTACATTAGCTAAATGATCACATGAAGAAATCAAGAAAAAGACAGCATGGCTTCCAGAAGAGATTCAAGTGAGTCATGATTACTTCAGCTTCACTGTCTTGCTGTCATTTTTCTCAGGCAGAGATTTTTGCTGACAGGAAAGGAGAAAAGAAAAAGTCAAATGCAAACTTCAGGGCTCTCATTGTGGTGCGTCTCCAGTCTCTCTCTATCTTCACTTGCCTGCCTCCGGTCAGCAGTGAAGCAACACAGTCCAGACAGTGGATGGCCTTTAGCTCGAATGCCGGCGCTCTAGCTCCTAGACGGCCCTCCAGCTTGGTGCTGAACTCCACCATGTCACCAGGATTTAGGTTTAGCAGAACTTGTCTGAACTCATGGCTGGCAATTAGGATTATATCCATGGCTGGATCCTCTGCCTCCGGACTTCGATCCCGCATCATCCCTACTGTCACCTCAAAGCGGTGGCTGTCAAAGCGCTTGATATGGCAGGTGTGTTTAGCCAGAACCTTGATCTGACACAGCTCTTCCTCTTCTTGCATTTGGAGCAGTATGGGCAGAGAAACGGTAGCCGGTGCAGAACCTGCTGCCAAATTGGCAGCTGTTAGGTTTGCGACTGTAGCATTCTTTGGCTCACATTTGGGATATGTCTCTCCATACAGGCAGCGCAGCCAGTCTCCCATAAACACTGGCAACATGTTGATCACCGACTGTGCCCCGTTCTCTGTCTCTGCCACACGGACATGCTTGAAACGCCCAACCCAGGTGACTCTGTGTCCTTGCAGGTGGCTACAGAAGATCTGTGTCTGGGCCATGCCTTTAGTTTCCCAAGCAGGGGGTCCACATGCCTGGCTGTACTGGCTCCAAGTCAGGGTGGAATTGTACACCTTCTGTCCCTCTGCGTGGTAGACGTAGATAGAGAAGAACAGGATCACCATGGAGATACAGAGTAAGATGAGCTTGACCGGGCCACGGTGGGTCAATGAGCGAAAGACATCCAGAATAGACATGCTGAACCGTGTCCACAGCCGGAGGGTGACAGGGATCGCACAAACTACCAGGGTCACAATCATCTTGGTTAGTTCCAGCTCGAGGAACCACTTGAACAGCTGGATGAGGAGCATGGCGGCAAGGCCAAAAGCCAGAATAGGCAGGGCAAACAGGAAGAGAAAGTAGGCCACCAAGGTCCGGATTAGACCCACAACAGAGGAACTCTGGAGGAGCACCACCGAGAACTCACACCACATGAAGCACACCAGGTATGGAACAAGGAAGCAGTAAGTCCCCCTGAAACCACGCATCCTGGCCATGCTGAAGATGAAAATAGACAGAAATAAGAGGAAATAAAATAAATATTTTTGAGAGCATAACCTTATCAATTCGCATTACAAGCTGGGGTGGGTTTCAATGCCCACTGACACAATCCTGTGTCTGAACTGATGTTCAACAAACACATCCATTGGTCCAAAGGCTCACCTGAAGAACAGATAGAACAGGTAAACATACAGCAGACAGGGGAGACTGAGCTTCAGCACCACTGACTCCCCTAGTGGCAGTGTGGCGAAGGTGCGTCCCAGTAAACGAAGCGCTGTCATGTTCTCTGGCAGGAACTGGGTCAGGCAACACAGAGACGATGCTACCTGGATTTTAAAAATAAAGTACATACATACACTTTGAGAGAACTGCTGTATTTTAAATTCAATTCTGTCAGATTGAAAAACATTCATAGGCCACACTTCTGCATGTTTTAGCCCATCAAATACAGAACATGTATGTAAAAGTCCTGTCAAGAAGCTTTTATGAAATTAAATTTGCATGTAGTTGTGCGCAAAAATCACTTCATGTGTTAAGGAACATTTGTTGATATTGGCGTCTTCTTAAACACGCCAATGAATATATTTGATGTATTACAAATGTCATGTTTCTGCAACTTGATTTTAAGACAGAATTCAGATGAATGAATTCCAATGGAAGTTAGAAAATCAATCTACAAACTTGTTTTAAGCTATACAAGATTGTAGTCATGTCTGGCATTAATGTTAAATATACTTTGTGATTTGTTGTTTAATAAGCTACAATATGCAAAACTGTATTTATGATATTTTAATCACACATGTTATGACAGTGCCCCCTGACCTCTATGACCATTGCTCGGCGTGCATACGCTGCAGCAGTGGGGCTGAGGCTCTTGTAGCTGACAGCAGTGAAGAAAATGGCCACAGTGGAGAGCTCAGAACAAGGGATCCAACCTTTGTCAGCTACAGGGAAGGAGAAAATTATAAAGAAAACGGATAGGATAAAATAGAGGTACGGTTCTAGGTTGTTCCAGCCAAAGTTGGTCTCTGCCTGCTCCACATCCAGGCCAGGTTCAAAACGTGTCAGCAGATGTGTTAGGGCTGTGAAGTTCTCCCAAGTCTGCGGAAAAAGAAAAAGGGAAGAAAGACATTGCTGAAAGTAAAAAATAACTTCAGATTTTAAAATCTGCAAATATAGTCCATAAACCATTGCACCATTACTGCCAATTTTAAGACATCAGTATAATAACTGTTAAAGGTTGCATATGCAATTCAATAAAAGGAAACATATTTTGGTCAAATTCTGTGAATCTCTCTTTATGGTTCGCTATATGTTAATTCTGTGTCTGAGCTGAAAAAAATCCACACAGCCCTAGTAAATGGGAAACATACAAAGTTTCATTCCAACCATGATTTGTGTGGAAGGTAACGCTAAATTACCTGCCCACGGAGAGGCAATTATTTCCTAGTTGGCCCAAGATATGTTGTTGGTGTGATGTTAGCCATAGTAGCAGCAGAGTTGTGAATATTGCTGTCTGGATCTGCAGTGCTGGCTCTGGGGCTGTTTCGTCCTCTCTGCATGTTAGCTTTGCAGCAGATACTGTAGCGACAGTTTGCTAACCCACAACTTAGCTAATGTTAGTGTGTCATTGTTCATTCTATATCATGGTATTTGTCACGGTATTAGATTTCTCCAGAAATCCCCACCATTAAGTCATGAGATTAGTCCACTGGCTTCTCCACTGCATTTCATGCTATTCCACCAGGTCAAGATTCATGTAAAATGTATGTGCTCTACAACGGTAAGGAAAATGACTAGATGACTTGACTATATGTGTTTCTCACTGGCATAGTTTGTGAACAGAGGAAAAGACAAATGGAAAACTTACAACATGTTCATCTACTTGTGAAAAAAAAGTGAAAATCTTAATGCAAATATATCAGTGTCTTGACAGGACAGATAAACATGTAAATGCAACATAGTTTTGCATTGAAAAACAATGCACAAATATTTATTTTTCAACAGAATCAGCAACTTCACTCACCTTGCTGCTCTGGAAAACACGCAGTGTGCAGATAATCATGGAGATGAAGGAGAGGTAGAAGACAAGCAAAGGGATGACAAAAGCAAACAAGTCAACTGTCAGGTTGCTGATGATAAAGAAGAAAATAAGTGCGTTGACGTGTTGTGTGGGGATGATTGTGCTCAGCCACTGGACACCGGCCCGCGACGCCCAGTCAACCAGGTGTTCTTTCATCTCCACAATGGCTTGCAGTGGGTACTGCAGCGTCTGAAGTGAAGAGGGGCAGATAATTAGACAGTAAATAGATATTTGACAGATATTTAATGAACAGAATTAATTGTAATACTAGATATGATTAAGATACCATTAAACGTGTTTTCATGTCCATGGCTTTTTTTATGGCCCCAGTCTGCTTACAGTCCAGCATCATCCCACTTCGGCTAAAACTCCAACTACTTCTGTGGGCCTTCTTGTGTCCTGATGGGACTAGCTCAGCCTTGTGCAACACAAATACACATGCATGAACACACAAATACACACTGGTCTGAATAGTTATAATGACAAATAGAACGAAATATGTGCCTTTATGATGGCAGATTATATCTATTTTGGCAGATTTGGGTCTTTTACCTCCCCACCACTGCCATGGGGTGTTGGGCTTTCGGTCTTGGCTGCGACCTGGCTGTCATTTTGGGACGCAGAGGGGACAATGCCTTGCGCATACTTTTTAGTCATCTCAACAAAGTCATCCAGGTCCACCATCTGTGTGGCTGAGGGACATAAAGCAGGCAGTTATACAAGAGGAAACATTACATTGTCTGTTTCTCTCCCTGTCTGGATACTTACACTCATTGCTGACCATGCTTTCCAGTACTTTCTGCGTCTGGCCTGACGTTGGGCCAGGAATCCTGCTTGCAGTGCCACCTATTGGTGAGGAATGACCACAACATCAGTGATGTACAAACATTTCTCTGGTGGCCTGCCAAGTAATGTGATATTCTTCACCATGACAGCTGCAAATACTGAAATACACAAAGGGCAGACTGTAGTACATCAGGCAGGACTGTTGTCACAACTCAAAAAAATTTAACTGATATGGTGTCTTCCATATGTGTGATTATGTGTGCATCGTACCCTGCACTGCATGGACCTGGCTGACATTTTCCAGCATCTCAGCCACAGCCACCTTCTTCTTCCTCTCTGGGTTGAGTTTCCAGTACATCATCATGGCTGCTTTACGTACTGCCAGCTCAAACTTACTCTCTGTTGACAACTTCCGCATGTCGGCCTCATTCTCTGGAGTGATTCCTGGTAGAGGATGGCAGACAAGGTACAGTTAAGGAGCTACAAACACAAATACACAAACATGCACGCATTGAATTCTGGAACTTGAACCTTTTTTCTGGATCCAACAGCGCTGCAGTGCTCTTGCTGCACCTTTTCTTCCTTGTTTAGCTGCTTTAATCAGCCAATTAACGGCAAGACGATTATTTAGCTCTGCGTCCTTCTCTTCAGCAAGAATCAAGTAGTGCTGACCCAGCTGAAACACAAAAGAAGAGATTAATTCAGCTCACGCAGACATGGTTGGCACACTGTGTAAAATGTAAATAGAAACAAAATGTGATTATGTACATTAAAACCCCATATTTAAATAGCACAAAGACAACTTAACAAATGTTGAAAAAGAGATATTTTATTGTTTTTGGAAAATGATATGCTCATTTTGAATTTGATGCCAGCAACATGCTTAAACAAGTTGGGACAGTGGCAACAAAAGACTGGAAAAGTTGTAAAATGCTAAAAGAAAACACTTGGTGGAACATCTCACAATTAATTAGGTTAACTGGCATCAAGTTAGTATAATGATTGTGTATAAAAAGAGCATCACAGAGAGGCTGAGACTTTCTGAAGTAAAAATGGGGGCTGTCTGTGAAAGTTCTCAGTCATCCAGGTCATAGTTATCCAACAAAGGTTGAGGTCAAGGGCAACTGGACTTGGTTGAAGAAAAACTAGAAGACGTTTCGTTCCTCATCCAAGTAAGTAAGTAAACTTTATTTATATAGCCCTTTTCACAGAGACAAGAGGGGTCACAAAGTGCTTCACAGTAAAAAATAGAATAAAATAAAAACAACAACACATAAAATACAAAACCATATGGCTAGTTAAATGCTAAAAACATGTGTCTTAAAGAGGTGGTATTATGCTTTATTATTGAGTTATATCTCTTTTTTGTGTAATAGGTTTGCAAAGTGAAAAAGCCCAAAGTCCAGCCCAAAGGGAGTTCCCATCTCCCACAGAAAGCACTGCTCTGAACTGCTTGAAAACAGCTCGTTTGTAGTCCAGCCCTTCACTTCCTGTACTTGTGATATCACAATGAAAACGCGTCATAAAGCTTGCCAAGCAGCTTGCGGGGGTCAGGCATGCCCTCAAACCAAGCTGGTCTGAGCAGAGGCCCTTTGGCTCCACTCGCCTTTGTTTGGGTTTCCATTGTAGAAATGTTGTACCTGTACCTGCTTCCAGGTACTTTTTTTTCGTATCACCTCACCTCGTCGAGGTTCCAAGCCAGATGAGGGATACTAAAATGTAAGGTGAAAACACGACCGATTGCTGATTGGTAAGAGAGAATATTCACTATTCACTGCTCCTTCATTGCGTGCACCTGACAGAGGCCAGCAACAGAAAGTTTTATATTTTACAATTTTCACATGGAATTTCATCACTAAATCCACTTCTGAGAAGTTTTGAGAAATCAGCTATGTAGATTTTAAATATTGACAGTTTTACGAGAAGTTATGGCGGAACAAAAATGTGCTTGAATATTTTCAGAGTTGCGGAGCTCCGCAAGTGGCTGCGGGGGAAGCCTGTGCCAACCCGCAGGAGGAGCTGGTGAGGCCGGCCGGCCAGCGGGCTGGTAAGATGTGGAAAAATGATGTTGTGTGGTTGTGGACTTGAGGAACTTATACCATCTTCTAGGTTACGGTCGCAGTCTGAAGCGGCTTTGATTTGGATCACACTACCTTGTTTCTTACGACCCGCCCTTCTCTGCTTCTGATTGGCTAGTAGTCCTTACCTGGGAACTGCGCTGTTGTGGTGGCAGCCCGGCTGACGGTGAGTGTCCTGGGTTTTTCTGTTCCCTGCCTGCCTCCCTGTGTTTTCTCCCCTGTGTGCTCTCTCTCTCCCTCTGCTCCTGAGCCCAGCCAACGACCCGCACCTGCACCTCATCAGCCACCTCGTCAGCCTGCCACACCTGCCAGTAGTCAACCTCGTCCCTGCCTGTATTTCAACCCCGGTTCTCCACACCACTCTTGCTTGATCGTCGTTGCTCCATACCCGGTGCCACCTCTGTGTTCAGGCTCTCATGTTTCTTGTTTTCCCACATTTTCCCTGTGCTTAGTCTCCGTTATCTCTAACCCTGTCTCTCCGTCTGTTTCCCTCCCAGGTTCACTCACCCTCGTCCTCCGTTTAGTCAGCTGGGCTCGTCCTCCGGACTTCTCCTCTTCGGGCTTCCCCCACGGCGTACTCCCAGTTCTCCCTTGCATCCTCCCTTCCTCGGCCCCAGTGTTCCCTGGCTCCCTGGTTCTCTCCCTCCACTCCAGTCCCTCAACCCCCTTTTTCCCTAAATAAACCTCCTCCAAGGCTCTGTAAGCAATGGTTAAAATTTTTAAATGCACTCTAAAACCAATTGGAAGACGATGAAGATCCTTAAGCACAGATGTAATGTGTGATCTCCTGTTGGTCTTTGACAAAAGTCTTGCAGCTGCATTCTGTACAACTTGCAGTTTGTCCATGGAGGATTTGTTTAAACAAGTGTACAGTACATTGCAATAATCCAAATGAGCAGGAACAAGCATCTCCATCACTTCTTTAGAAACCACAGACTTCTTCAGTTCTGACTGACTGGTAGAGAAACTCATCTATTTAACCTCTGTGGGTTCATTAGCTAGGATCGTCGATACTGATGGTTCGTTAGTGCTCCTGGCTGTGGTAACGACAGTCGCCATGGTCATTAGAATCACCCGTGGCCAAGTCTGAACAACCATCATTGGTATCTTCACCTGAGGCCATGAGGGAATGCTTGCTGAGTTTCCTGGGAAGTGATAAAAGGACAGCATTGTAAGTGGTGGCGTAAACCCCCTCCTCTGTTCAGCGACGGCTTCTCATCTTATCAGCGGACAAAGGAAGATGCACGGTAGCCCTGAACACAGTGGACTACCACACCACTAATGGACACAAACACATATGAGAAACTGAGGCCATAGAATGTCTACAACAACTTCAGAAAGAAAACTCCATCACCCGGGAACAGTATTACCGTTTGTATCCTGGAGAAGCCATTCCTTGCATATATGGACTGCCCAAAATACACAAAGAAGGAGCCCCACTCAGGCCGATTATCAGCAGCATCAACTCAGTCACCTACAACATTGCCAAACACCTATCTACCATCTTAGCCCCTTTGGTTGGTAACACACCCCACCACATCCAAAACGCCATTGACTTTGTAAACAAAGTTCGAGGACTGAAACTGGACCCAGATGAAACCATGGTGTCCTATGATTTGACCTCTTTGTTCACCTGCATCCCCACCATGGAGGCAGTAGAATCTGTAAGGAAACGGCTACTAAATGATAACAGGACAACAGAAGTAGCCTCAGCCCTGACCACAATTCTGTAGTGGCTGAGGAACACTTCCAAAAACCATTGTCTGTGAACACAGTTCATCGCTGGATCCACAATTGCAAGCTGGAACTCTACCATGCAAACAGAAAGCCGGGTATAAACCAGATACAGAAACACTGTTGACTTCTGTGGGCCCTAGCTTAAGATGGACTGAGGTGATGGGGAAAACAGTCCTGTGGTCTGATAAGTGAAATTCTGTTCCGACATCATGGATGCCACATCCTCCAGGCTAAAGAGGAGAGGGACCATCCATGTTGTTATCAGTGCACAGTTCAAAAGCCAGCATCTGTGAAGGCACCATTAATGCTGAACAACATATGCAGGTTTTGGAGCAATATAAGCTGCTAAGTAGACAATGTCATTTTCAGGGACAGCCTTGTTTATTTGCTCCGTAGTAAAAGAGTCCTGGTGCTAAAGTGGCCTGCCTGCAGTCCCGACTTTTCACCCATTGAAAATGTTTGGCACATTATGAAACGTAAAATGACAAAGGAGACCACGAACTGTTGAGCACCTGAAATCCTACATCAAACAAGAACAGGAAAACATTCCACTTTCAAGATTACAGCAGTTGGTCTCCTCAGTTCCCAGACACTTACAGAGTGTTGTTAAAAGAAGAGGTGATGCTTTCAATTACATACATTTTATACAGGAAGTTGTGGAAGTTGACCATAAAGTTTAATGTACTGTGTTGTGTGCATGTATTTAGAATGTAACATTAACTAGTTTGTGAAATAATAAAAATTAACTATTAAAAATTTTACATTAGTTTACATGATCATGTCATAATTGATTTACTTAATTAGCCTATTACTTCATAAACCCTGTGAAGATATTTAATGCAGAAACAGAAACCCCATTTATTTTGATAATCCACAAGGCATGATGGTTTTAAAGGGACTAACTCTTTGGTAGAAAGTAGTTCCAATCAAAACAGTTCACAGTGAAGTTTGGAGAACCCACAGACAACAGATGACTACAGAACCCATAATTCTCTGTCCCTGTGGCCATCAGTCATGGCTAATTAAAAGGAGTAGCAGAGGCATATCAAGTGACTGGTTTCTAATCTTAACTGTCATTTCATAACTTCTCTCACAGTTATCATCACATGCTTCAGTTTAAGGAGATGAGATGTGTCTTTATTTAAAGTAGCTCAGCATTCATCCTGTCTATGTCTATAAACGATATAATCTCATAAACCAGCTTTTCTAGCATGCATTTTAAATTGACAGTGTTGTCAAAGCATCTAAATACTACTACTAATAATTTAAATTAAAACAATTTCACTTTTAAGTAACAATAAATACTGATTCCCTGTCTATAACTTGTGTTTAAGCTGCAGGTGTTTTCTCTATTCCAATTTGATAAATAGCTTGTCTATTATGGTAAATAATATATCACTCTCTTACACTCTCTACTACTCTTACATTACTGCATGTATATCCAACCACTGCACTGATGTGGTCACATGTTTTGAAATGTTCACTCTGAAAGGAATTTACCCTTTCAGAGCTAAAGGGCCTTAAATGCAAAAGTCTGGGCTCATCTTCTACCTCTAGCCCCCATATTTCTTCCGCCAGCACCTTTTAAATTTTTTTTTTTTTTTTCATTTGCACGTGTTGGTAGGGGACGAGGAGTAAATAGAATGCGATTATTACCTTATTAGTCGTACAAATTAAGTGCAGCGCTGCAATACACAGTATCTTGGTGTGTCGTATTGAAAGCCTGAGATCATCTTCCAAGTGGCCAAAAATAGACACATGCTCACAACCAGACTGAGTTAACCAGCAGGACTGAAAACAATGCCAAGGGCCATTTTGTGTGAAAATGCTTTCACTCACCCGGGTCTGAGCTCTGGCATCACCAGCTTTGGCCTTCTCTTCCATCTGTTCCATGGACAAATCTTCCTCTGGTTCTTCATCTGGAGGAGAGGAGAGGAGATGCCTAAATGTACACATATTCATCTCTATCTATCAAAAAACACTCTCTAAATCAAATTGGATCACATAACACCCTTGCTTACAAACTTAAAGGCCTACTTTATTGAAAGAGCAGAGGATTTTTACACATACTGTGTTCAGAGCCAGAGATGAATGAGTTCCAGCTGACATACAGTATATCTCGTAACATGAGAATAACAAGAAGTCAGAGGTGGAGTAGATGTGAGAGTGTGAGCATTTTAAACATGTCTGTGCATATGTCTGTGACAAGACCCCAGAGTTCTGTCAGCACCGTGCCCATCTCCGATGTTACACCAATACTTGTCGATGGCATAAAGTTTCATAGCTGTTAGTGTCTCCCTAGTGCCCTTTAAGCAAAAGAGTTGAGTTTCTTTGCATGAAGCCTTATGTCGAATATTCCAGTCTGCCATTACACAGCTACCATCTTAGTTAAGCATGCAAATATGTTCTAATTAGCACTAAAGACAAAGTACAGCTGAGGTTGTAGTGTTGTTAATTTTGCAGGTGTTATAAAACAAATTACTGGACAAATAAAAACCTGATGATGGCGCTAAATGGAAAGTTGGGACCCCTAAGGTCCCCAAATCACCAGAGGTTTAATTATTAATGTATGCTCCTCTTCTCGTTTGCATTTCTTTACACACAGAACAGTCACTGAGCAATACCTGAGGCCTAAGAAGAAGAGATTCCACTGGATAATAATAAAAAAAAGTTTTTTTAAATTTAACTTTATGTATTTCATTTCTATTTTTGTATGGTACCTTTTATGCAGAGATGCAGCCAAAGGTGCTTCACAAAACTGGATTACAATGAGGTAACTAAGTTAGCTAAAGTATCCAAGAAGGGTTAAATCAAGGGCAACTGGACTTGAATGAAGATACTGTGAAGAGAAACCTCTTCGATGAGAGGTAAAACGTCTTCCAATGTCTTCAGTCAAGTCCAGTTGCCCTTGATTTTACCCTTTACCGACCTGGATAACTGAGAATCTTCACAGTTAGCTAAAGTAATTACCCATTCTGGCCAAGAGAGATGTTTATCCAACGACTGGGTAATTCTGCTGTGCATGGAAAGACATTCCAAAGCATAGCAAAAAGCTTATCACCTCAATGTATCAATGGGTCTGTGTTGTGTGACTTCAGTTCTCAGGGCAATTAAAACTCACAATTTGTTGTTTAATCCCAAACTCAAAATGAAGGCGTTCTTACCATCCTCTTCATCATTGGCATCTTCCTCGGCTTTCCTGAGCCTTTCCTGTATGATCACCCGCTTGGCCATGGAGGCGAAGGTGCGTTTCATGGGAGCAGTAGAAGAAGTTGCAGTAGCCATGGTGGAAGCAATAGTGGAGGAAGAATTAGGGGAATATGTTGGAGTGTTACAGGCCAAGGTAGCTGATGTTGTAGAGGCAGATGTGAGGTTGGAAGAGGATGACATTGTGGGAATTTCAGGCGTAGAGCAGTTAGGAACGAGTGGTGTTTTTTTTGGAGCAGGAAAGGGGGGGGTAGTAGAAACAGTTTTAGAAGTGGATTTAGAGGAGGCAGCAGGTGTTAAGGGCTTTGGACCTTCTAAAGAAAGAGGTGAATCCATCGGTTTAGAGATGGTGTGAGCAGAAGGATGAGAAGAATGAGATAATTTACCAGGTTCTGTAGTTGTTTCTGTGCAAGATGGAGATTTGGTGGTGTGAGAGAGATCGATAGCAGGGAGGTCACTGGAGACAAGTGAAGGAGGAATCTGTATGGGGGAGGGAAGAGAGGGCACATCCAGGACAGGACGTGACCCCTGGGTGTTCACAGCACTTGGGGTTGATGGGAAGTCTTTCTCCATATTACCTGGAATAAAAAAAGATAATAATTTATCATGTAACTACATACACTGCAGCAAAATAATCAAGGTAATTCCTAATAGTGAGTCATAAGTGAAGACACAGCTGGGTGATGAAATTCGAGCCTTTCCTCTGGACATTTTACACCTAAAATATGACACCTTACCTTTAAAAGGAGCTAGAGTTCTGACACAAACCTCAGTGAAATCCTGTGTTACCAATTGCAAGTCAGCGTTGTGAAACAAGACGTTGGATCATATTTAATAAATTGCAATTAAGCAAAACAAGGTGGCAAGATCAGATAAAACACTGTATATGTCGTTGTAGGTATACAACGAATTTATGTTTGGTATAAACTCTCAACACATGAAAGCAGGAGCATTCTATTAACCTCATATTTAAACTCTCAGAGGAAAATATGGGGGGAGATATTTTTACGCTGACATTACTGTAATTATTCAGCGTCACAGCCTGCCATCTGAACTGCCTGGAGGTTACTCCGTCCTGTATAGGCGACATGCGGACACTGAACGTGCGAGGAGCTCATGCACTTCGCTTAAGTTTTCAAAACTAAACATGCGCCGTCAGCAACTACAGAGTAAAACAAAATAGAGAAACCTTACTTAGTGGCTAAATGGATCAGGATAAAAAGCTGATTGTCTTGCTGAATTTAATATTTGTGTCAGTAGTCCATGTTCAGATCCACGAACTCCACACACCCCACAGCTCGGCGAAACCAGACACACACACACACAGACCGTGGTTAAACTCTCACGTGTCACGTCTTGAACAACACCACAACTTAATGGCCTGCCTTCTTGAAATAGACTCGCCTCTAATAGGGAGAAATAAATGCCCATCAAATGACCAACTCATCTGACTGGTTTTCAGCGCCTGTTTGCTTGGTAAACCTGTAGGGCTCCATTGATTTGAACAATTTAGATCCTCTCTTCAATCTTTTCCTCAATTAAATCACCCGTCTCTTTTCGGTACTGACAAAGAATACAGATAATATAACACACACTAAACAAAATCCTTAAAATGGGTAATTGTGTCCAATAAGGGTGCATGTGCCTTTATTTCCCACTGAATGGTCGAACTATTTAAGTAGATTATGGGGTTCCTGGTCCAAAGCTATGTACAGTGGTTAATCGAGTGTGACTCTCTCCCATATGGCACCAGTTGGTAACAAGACTGACCACTGAGAAGTGGGGGCAATGAAAAAGTATGACAAATCCCCAGCAGTTGTGCTTGTATCATGGAACAACGTGTAGATGTTTGATTAGAAACAGTTTCATATTTCAATTAGAACATGTACTCTTCTGCTTGCAGAGAGACTCAAAGAGAGTCAAATGCTGGAAAGCCCTTTTCTAATTTATTTCATGAAATTTTGTGGCATATACATTAATATGAACTGTGGGTGTCAACCAGAATAATAAGCCTATGCCAATTAATCGATGATCCATTAATCATTAATTTTTTACTTAAATTCAGTGACTTTTTCATAAAAGGCCTACTGAGCAATAGAAATTCATTATTCATACATTTGATCATCCTAAGTCACACATACATTGATTATGTATTATTAATGTGATTTGTACCCTTATAATAAAGTAAGTTGCCTAATAATAACAATGATTATCATATCACGTGCTATATAGGCTAAAGGCTTCCTTCCAGATATGTGTTATGTAGTTACAAGTAGCCTATTCAAGTACCAAAACAGTTTTTATACTGCTGGCAAGAAACCCGTTTTTCGTTGTAATGCATTCCAATGGGCGGCATGTATTGTTGCTGTGTTTCATGTTTGGTGCATTGTTCCTCTGGGAGCTGTCCACCTCCACGAGTACTGAAAAGACAGCTCCCAGTTTCTCTCTCTCTCTCTCTCTCTCTCTCTCTCTCTCTCTGCCTTTCGTCCTCCCATCAGCTCTCACTGTCGGCTCACATCAGCAAACATTTAATGAGCACACAGGCATACTGGCTTCGGCCCGGTGGAGATAAAAGCACCTACTGCAGCCCGCAGGTTGCACTCACAATGCAAGGCTAATGTCTTGCAATAGACAGGGACACAGCTAGACCATCTGTCTCTCCTTCCAGATGTGGGTTAAGTGATGTCTCGTGGTGGTTTAATCCGCTGATGGTGTGACCTCCTCACGCACAGCCCCCACATTAAAAAGAGAGGGAGAGGGTTGGTGGGAAGACTTGCTCTCTTTTTATTTGTGTCTACATGTGGCCAGTCACTAGACATTAAAACTAGTACACTACACACCTATTAAATTGGAGCACTGCATCATTTCACTTGTTTATGCGTGTGTGTGTGCGTTCTTAGGTATCCCAGAGAGAGCTGCTGTTCACAGTTCAGAGCGTCAGAGCGCGCTTGGGAGGAGGGGCTGTCCGTGACCCGATTAGACGTAAAACAAGCGAGGCTCCTGTCTCCATCGTTTCAGATTGTGGGAAGCCACCGTCTCAAGTGGAAGCCACGATGTCTGACTGCAGGAAGCAGTGGAATCGGGAGGATGAGCTACCGGTCTACCTGGCGGGACCGATTACCACCGGGCCGAACCAGAGGAAAAGCTACGGGATGTTCAGCTCCGTGGAGGGGGCGTTTGATAGCAAGACCATAGACTTCGAGAACTATGCGGTGGGGAGGAAAGGGACCCGCACCCCGAGAAGCGGGAGTCGGGAGAGGCTCTTGGACACCGGTGACCCCATCGGCAAGACGCCCAGCGAGGCCCGGGAGGGGTCACTGACCAACTCTCCCGGGGAGAGAGACGACGGGAGCCCCGATGTGGAGGTCAGCTATTCGTCTGGGAGGGAAAACCCAAATGGGAAGGTAGGACCGACGATTTCACTGCTTAATTGGCCGTTTCTCTCTGCCTGGCTTTTTGGTTGAAATTCTGATGGATGTTTCATGTATGAACAGGCTTCCTAATAAATATGATTAACACAAGTGCAACAAAAGCGACCACAGACTACAGCAGGTGGAGAACTATTGGCCTATTTAAAGAAAGAAGAATGGAAATTAGTTCTAACCTCTGAAGGCATACATAGCCTATTTGAATTATTTAAATTCAACAATTAATTGTATAATAATTGAATTACAAATAATTTTTGGGATGGCCTCATTTTGGAAGACCCTCAGGAGTTTTTTCCTGAGGCAAATCCCTCAGTCTGCATAAATGATGAACTTTTGTACTGCATTGCAGTTTGGCCATTTTGGTTTACATCTACGTAGCTCAAACAAATTTTTTTTTAAACATGCAAATGCACAAGCACATCTACACAGTGTCTTATTTGTGGTGCTGAACTGGACAACGACAGACAGCACCCCTTCTCTGCATTGTTTTTGTCCCCTCACGTGAGCTGTTCATGTGTGCGCGTGTAGGGGGTGTGATGTACACAGTCTGTCTGTGCCGTGGACGCTACGGACACTCACTTTCCGCACGCGCGCACGCACAGAACCGTCAACTGTCTTCTAAACGGTGCGCGCTCCACGCATCCTGACGCAACCGTACGGCGGCGGATTCATCGCTCTCCCTCACACACACACACACACACACACACGGAAACAATAATTAACACATATCGGTGGAGAGAAAGCGGCGCAAAGCGCAGAGCAGGGCGCCGGAGTCATCGCAAGCCGCTTCTGAGTTGACTTGGGCAGAGCGACGGAGACAGCATGTCTGGGGGTAGTTACCAGGGAAAGAACAGCATCCCCCATCTGACGGTAAGAGACCTGGTCAGCGGAGAAGCTCTCCGCTTGTATGCAAATCCCTGCTGCCAGTGCCGGTCCGGCAGCGATGGGATTAAATTCTTAGTGAGGCAGCAAAGAGCAGAACGCCCCTCTGCTGTTTCTCCTGTGTCAAACAGCAAACCCAAGACAGAGAGGTGACAATTCTCAATGTCTGCCTGCCAAATCGAGCGCGTATTCTCTCTCATTGTTGGACAGTGTTGTGTAATCTTGCCGCCTGTCAGAGGGATTAACTCGGTTGACGTGACTGTCGAAACAGGAGTCCCACAGGAAACAATGCATTAAACAACACAAACGTTGTTGGACTGTAGTTGTACAAATAGGCATCCCTTTTCAGCTATGTTGATGCATGCATTCTGCAGAAATCTATCATTGCACAATATTATTTCATTATCAAATTAATCCGAAGGCAACATACAATTAATGTAACTAAGCATTATACCTCAGCGTGGAGACAGAGAATCAGATTGTATTCACATTTTTAAGCATGTAAGCATCATTATTGGCTACAGAAGCTGAGAATTCTGCAGAGCTGTCAGCTGCTATCATCTAGGACCATGGATGATCACTTGCTACCGTGGAGACATAACATCCCATTGCTGTTGCCAGGCACCCTCCATGGTGGTAGAGGGTGTGGACCTGAGAAAAAAGTGCTTGTTTCCCTGCCTCTAAATATTTAGTATTTGATTGCACTTGTACTTACCAACCTCATACATACACTAAATGCAAATAAGACAGGCTTTTGTGAGACATAACCCATACACAGCACTTGTGTGTGTGTGTGTGTGTGTGTGTGTGTGAGACTATGCATTTCTTTCCACCCTCACCCACTGCACTGTGTCATAATATTGCTATAAGGTCATCAATTACATAACTGATTGTGCAATATATCAAAATGTCAGGATTGAATTAAACCCCTCCTTTACCCTTTCCTCCCTCTCTCTGTACTTCTCCCCTGCAGAGTGAAAGGCTGTTGATCAAAGGAGGGCGGGTGGTCAATGATGACCAGTCTCTCTATGCAGATGTCTACATTGAGGATGGGCTGATCAAGTGCGTATATAAGGAGCTAATTATGTCAGAGAACTGCAGAGGCATTAAAAATATAGAATTGAGAATGGTCCTTATTCCCTTTATGCCCTTTTTCTATCTCCTCATCCTCCACAAACCCTTTTAATTCACACCCATATATATATATTCCACCACTACATCTTTTCCCATCATCTCTGCACCTCCTCATTCCTGCTTTTCGTCTCCCTTTCACCAGACTCACCTTTGTGTCTAAATGTATCTGGTCCTTGGCAGGCAGGTGGGGGAAAATCTGGTTGTACCAGGGAACGTCAAGGTGATCGAGGCTAATGGCCGCATGGTGATACCAGGGGGGATAGATGTCAACACCTGTCTGATGAAGCCTTACCTGGACACACAGCCTGTTGATGATTTCTTCCAGGGCACCAAGGCCGCACTTGCTGGGGGCACCACCATGATCAGTGAGTGTATATACCTCGGTGCAGTCAACACATACTTAGCCACAGTAGATACTCTAAACACAAGTGTTAAATAAAAATATTGGTCGCTCTTTCCATCTTACCCTTAACTTCCTCCCTATTTTCAGTTGACCATGTGACGCCCCAGCCTGGGGACAGTCTGCTGGAGGCGTTTGAGTGCTGGCAGGAGGCTGCAGATAAGAAGGCATGTTGTGATTACTCCCTGCATGTAGACATCCCCCATTGGAATGAGACTGTCAAAGATGAGTTGGAGCTGCTGGTGCATGAGAAAGGTACATATGTTTTTAGTCATTGTATAATATTTCACAGCTGTAGTCCTTGCTGTAATTCTTGTTTCAGTTCCATGTTCATCCCTATTTTGGACCATTTTCATAAGAACAACAGGGACAGATTTAGAAACAATTTGGCTTAGGGTTGAATCCTCTTACAGTGAAAGCACAGCGGAACTTCATTGTTCTCACTACTGTGCTGCCATGGTGGCAGAGTATAAATTTTGCTTGTAATCTATTTTAAGTAAAAAATCACTTTTCTTTTGGGGCAGCTACAACATATTGCAGAAACTGAGCCATGGCAGCTTCTTGTGTGACCAGTTTCTTTGAGAAAGAAAGTTTAGAGTTGTAATTCTTGGCTCAGATGCTAGACACAAGCGTGCTCTGCTTTGTTAATCAGAGGAGGTTGTAGATCAGTTTACAGCTTGAAGTTTGCCATTGATCTTGACTTTATTTATTGCATTTCATGATGTATTAATTTGGGTATACTCACCCAATTTGTAATCCTTGCTGATGAGTTTCACTTTATTACCTTCTAGTCATGACCACGTTCATTGTCTCTGCTGTTGTCAGGTATCAACTCCTTCCAAGTGTACATGGCTTATAAGGATGTGTACCAGATGTCAGACTCTCAGGTATGTTTCATAATCACTAATTGCACTAATCACTAATACTGCACGAACAACTTATTTTCCTTTCACTATTATTATATTATTATAATCCTTGTTTTGTTTTGTGGACTCACTCCCTCAGCTATATGAGGCTTTCTCCTTCCTGAAGCAGCTGGGTGCTGTGGTGTTAGTTCATGCTGAAAATGGAGACCTGATTGCTCAGGTACAGTAAGTGCTACATAACCTTCTCTATTTTTGTCTCTTAGTAGCAAATAGGACCGTCACAACCTGTCAGTATCTTTACTCAGCCTGCAGACACAGTAGTTTACTGTGGTAAAAGAAGTAATTACATAAAATGGCTGAACAAAATCATGGCAAATCTTTTACCTTAAAATTCCCCTGCAACGTCCACTGCAGTTGAGAGATATTCTTGTTACATAACTCCCCAGCTTTCAGAGAGGGAGAGGATTAATGCTGCTGCAGCTGCAGTTTGTGGGGTGTGACAGGTTTAACAAAGGCCACCATTGCCGTTGACCATCATTATACGATTGAGGAGGTACTGATAATGCTGACAGCAGTGATGAAAAGTGGTAGTCACTGTCATGGAGATGATGGACCTAATAAGGGAAGAATTATGGCAAAAAAATAATTGTGAAGATAAATGAGAGAAATGAATGTTAATGACATGCTTGTTAACCTGACTGTAATGGAAACAGAGAGAAAGGTGATGAAAAATCTTTAGAAGCACCAACCCCTTGAGGAAAAACAGTGGAAAAAATACAGCAAGGGGGTGGGGGTCTGGTTTTCATAGAAATGTAGCTGTTCTCCAGACAGTGCTGTCAGAAACACAACTGTAGCCAGCAAAAGCTTCCCACAGTGCATTGGCATTCTGGGATTATAATGCACACTTTATTTTCTTTGATAGCATGACAGACCATGAGATTTTCATTTTACAACCATGAGATGCCAGCAGGCACTAAAATGTGGGTAAAACATCATTTGACAAGTGCTGTACGTAATGCTGACAGTTTTTGTATTGTCGTTTTCAATTTTAGGAACAGAGAAAAATCCTCGTTATGGGAATCACTGGACCAGAAGGCCATCCTCTGAGTCGTCCTGAGGAGGTGATATCACTTTTGTTAGCCATTCATCCATTCAACCATTCATTCATCCATCCATAGGTTTTAAGGTTTTCTTTACTTCTTTTCAACGCAGCTGGAGGCCGAAGCGGTGTTCCGTGCCATCACTCTTGGTAACCGTGTGAACTGTCCTGTCTACATCACCAAGGTGATGAGCAAGAGTGCAGCGGACACTATCGCCCAGGCCCGGAGGAAAGGTCATCCTCTCTTTCTTTTCGCTCCATGTCTTTTTCACTCATCAGGTTCTCCATTGTCTAATGTGTCTGATTCTATTTGAATGACTTTTGCAGTGTTTATGAACATCTTCTTTGCCACACTCTCTCTGTCCCACTGTCGTAAAATGCAGGTTCTGTAGTTTTTGGGGAGCCAATAACTGCTAGCCTGGCCACTGACGGCTCTCACTATTGGAGCAAGAATTGGGCCAAAGCGGCAGCTTATGTGACCTCTCCGCCTTTGAGCCCTGACCCCACAACCCCAGACCACCTCCACACACTGCTGGCTTGGTACGTCTTAAACCTTTTCAGCAATTGATGCAAACTAAGTAAATGCACTAAAGGCTCCTTTTAATGCAAGGGTCTAGTGATGTCCACTTTGTGATAATAATGCTCTGAGAGGCCTCACAAAACATGTAGCCTACAGTATATTTCATGAACACTGGAACATGTAAAAACATTTCTAATTAATGCAGAGAGAGGGCAGATGAAGTGCTTAATTTAGTTATAACCTCTGCAGAAAGTGAAATGCAAATCAGCTGGCTGACACAAAAGGAGACACCTACCTAGGATCTGTTTGCCCTTAGATATTACTTTGGTATTCATGCCATAAACAACTGCTAGGGTAATTCAACATGTTAGACCAGTGAGAAAGAAAGATGGACAGATGGTGAAGGTGTATGTATGTGGAGGAGATACTAAATAATAAGTAAAGGACTGTATAATCATTTACAATCTGCTTTAACTGTATAAAGTATAACAGCACATTAAGCACAAAATACATTAATAATAGTAAGTTAAGTTGTAATTCAGGATCACAGAGAGGGATAAAGTGCCTCAGACCAAGCCCTCCTCAGCTCTCACTTCAAACATACCGTTCACACATATTACACAATGCACAGAACATCCTGCTGTACACTTTTGACTGTCCCCGATTCCATAAATAGCACAGGATCCAGAATCCTTTATCATCTGTTGCCTTGGCTACCAACTGCCTTCCTCCTCCTCCACCCTTCTTCTGCAACACCAGCTTCTCAGGGCGGATCTGTGCTGCCACACCGGTGGTGTGATGCTGGTGTTGTGTTTCAGCTTCTGCTGAAGCAACAAGGTGTATTTTTAGGTTCTTTTTTATGCACGTGAACAAATGAACAATGCTTTTGCTCACATTTCAGTCAGGCCCATTATTATTGTAATAAGAACTCTCATGGCATTGGGGCGATGATCCCGCAGCTCACTGTCATGAAGTAATCACTGTAATTAACAAGTGAATAAAAGGTATGAGATGAGAAATTATGCTAATCACAGCTCATTATGAGTCAAATGCAGCCTCCTGTATGATCAGGAGTAAAGTGAGTATTTATGGTGATGTCTTTTTGATAATTCATTGTATGTTTGTCATGTGATCTAGTTAAGGTTTTCGGGACTAGTATTGCAGCTGCGTTGCACCATTCTGACTGGTTCTGCTGGGTGGTTTTTCAGCTGTAGGCCACTACATGACTTTACTTTAACTCACATACTCAATGAGGACACCTGGTGCCCTATAGTAGAAATGTCTTTGTGTTATCTTGAATGCCTGAAAGTGAATATCGTCTTTGACTGATTTCTGCAGCCAGATGTCCTTTAACTGATCACAAAGTCTGAGGAAACATTTAAGAGGTTAATCAGTGCAGTGTTACGGGTATGCTGATGATTTCATATAATTTTGTTGCCTTGACACAGTGGGGACCTCCAGGTGGTGGGCAGCGCTCACTGCACGTACAGCACTTCCCAGAAAGCAATCGGTAAAGATGACTTCACCCTGATCCCAGAGGGAACCAATGGAGTGGAGGAGAGAATGGCTTTCATCTGGGACAAGGCAGTGGTAAGCAATGATATATATGTATGTGTGTGTTTGTGTCTTTTGTGCAGCTATTTGTGTGACTTTTGTTCACCACTCTAAACACCCACTTCTCTGTCTCTAAGGCCATAGGGAAGATGGATGAAAACCAGTTTGTGGCAGTCACATCTACCAACGCTGCTAAAATCTTCAACCTGTACCCACGCAAAGGCCGGATAGCGGTGGGCTCTGATGCTGATGTTGTCATCTGGGACCCTGACAGCGTCAAAACCATCACTGCCAAACTCCAGCAGTCGGTGAGAGCAAAAGAAGATTATGGTGATGGGAAAGGAAAGATGGTAAAAGAAAAGGGCAGACGGATAACCTGTAAAACAGAACACAAGGAATAAACTGATGCTCTGACTGATGCCATATCAACTAAACTGATCTTCAAACACTGCATCAGTTGAGGGCGTAGAAGTGCATAAAGGACAGGAGAGAGGAACAAGGCTGCAGGAGAGAGGGTTTCATATGGGATATGGTAAAGTGTGACATTGGATCAAAACCAAGGGAGAGAGAAACCTGAAATCTAATTTTAAAGTGGAATATAGTGTTCATTTGTGTGGTAAAATACAGCTTAGGAGGTGAAACTTTGCCTTGGGCAATGTGACATAATACAGTGAAGATAGTAGACAGTGGTTAATGTATTCAGTCTGCTCTGCCACTCTCAAAGACACTAATCCAGACTGGTGCCGGCTTTAGGTTATAATCCCCCTTCACCCCTCACCCATTCTGTGCTACCATCTCTCTGCCCATCCCCCTGTATTCACACTGTCGCTCCTCCTATGTGCCCCCAACCTCTCACTTATTCATCCCCCATCTTCTCAACTGCTGCATTTAACTGCATGTATTAAGCCTTTTGATACAACTCTTGCTGAAATAGCACAGTGTGCCGAGACAATGTAGGGTATCAGTGCTCTCAGTGGTGGTGGTGGTGGTGGGGGAGGGGGGGGGTGAAAGAGCTCTCGCTTGTCCATCTGAATTATTCCACATTCTTTGTCTTGTATGCTTTATCCCTCTCCACACAGGCTTCAGAATACAACATCTTTGAGGGTCTGGAGTGCCGTGGGGGTCCGGCCCTGGTGTTGAGTCAAGGTCAGGTGGTTTATGAGGAAGGCAAGCTGCAGGTTCAGCAGGGTACCGGTCGATTTATTCCCCGCAAGCACTTCCCGGACTACGCTTACCAGCGTGTTAAGTTCAGGAACCAGGTACAGTACACAGAGGATTTTAAAGCGATTCCTACAGTCGTGTTAAAAACGTGACTTTTAAAGAGGTGGTATTATGCTTTTTGGCTTTTTTCCTTTATTGAGTTATATCTCTTTTTTGTGCATGTAACAGGTTTGCAAAGTGAAAAAGCCCAAAGTCCAGCCCAAAGGGAGTTCCCATCTCCCACAGAAAGCACTGCTCTGAACCGCTTGAAAACAGCTCGTTTGTAGTCCAGCCCTTCACTTCCTGTACTTGTGACGTCACAATGAAAACGTGTCATAAATCTTGCCAAGCAGCTTGCGGGGGTCAGGCACGCCCTCAAACCAAGCTAGTCTCTTTTAGCAAGTGGCTGCGGGGGAAACCTGTGCCACCCGCTCACAGAGTCCTCTACTCCAGCCGTCACACAAACCGCTGCAGCAACAACGGCAGAGGAAAACACAGCTGAAAGGTTTTCATACCGCTTATCTGTCTTTACATTCTGAGGAATGTTGAAACATTTTAACCGTAGACTGTATATATTTTAAAAGCTGTGTGGATCACTGGTGTGTGTGTTGCATTGAACAGTTCAACGTTTAGTCCTGATGGTAAGATGTGGAACAATGAAGTTGTGTGGTTGTGGACTTGTGAGTAACTTATACCATCTGCTAGGTTACGGTCGCAGTCTGAAGCAGCTTTGATTTGGATCACACTATCTTGTTTCTTACGACCCGCCCTTCTCTGCTTCTGATTGGCTAGTAGTCCTGGAACTGTGCATGTGCAACTCCCAACAAAGATTTTGTACAAGTAAGATGCCTCACTCTGTAGCTCAAGAGTGGAGTGTACAACACACAGGGTGAAAAGAGGAGCTGCAGCAATGTGCAGTATGAGAAAAATATGGTGTTTTTTGAAAATTATACCATGTAATACTGCTCTGGTACAACCCCTAATTAAGATTTTGAACCTGAAAATGAGCATAATACCACCTCTTTAAAATTTTAGTATTAATTAATTATAAATATTTTTCCATTAAAAAAATAGGCAGGCAGTCAACATCCAGTGATATTTTCCCTATAGCTGCACTGCACTGCTTTTCTTAACTGTCTTCAAAAATACATATAAAAACTGGAGAAAATTGGAACTAGAAAACGACAATCAACAAAATTCAGCCAGATGCAGGCAATCAATAAAAATCAATAAAAGTGAAAAGACATCACAGACAAAAGCCATGCCCTAATTTTTGTTGTATTTTGTTGCATTTTTATGGTAGGAACACTGAGGCCAGAATGTAGCTTCACATTTAGTCAGAAGCTATAAAATATCTATAGGTCAGGAAATGAAAACCAATGTATTTTGCCCCAAAGTTTAACAACATAACTAAAATATACTGGTTATTCTGTGCTAAATTCACCTATGCTGCCAACAAAATATATTTCACAGCAATCTGTACAGTCATGTTCTATTATCATGGGTTACAGGTTATTTTTTGTTTCCGAGGAATGACTAATAGGTTAGCTTTGTGTTTGTGTCTCTGTGTGTTTTCCATCCAGGTGAAGGGTAAACAGGGCGTTACTCGTGGGATGTACGATGGCCCTGTGTATGATGTGGTCCCAACCCCCAAATATATTACTCCTGCTCCGTCGGCCAAAACATCACCCACCTCTCACCAACCACCACCAATACGTAATCTTCACCAGTCCAACTTCAGCCTATCAGGTAACAGAAAAAAACAAACAAAACAAAACAAGAAATATATATAGATAGATATTACATGACCTATTAAGTATACTGAAGATGATCTGAATTAAATAGATCTCTAATATTTAAGTAAATGTATCTAATGTTTTAATTCTGTCTTCATTTCCCAGGGGCACAGATTGATGACAACATCCCTCGTCGGTCAGGCCACCGTATTGTAGCACCCCCCGGTGGACGCTCCAACATCACCAGCCTTGGTTGAACACTTGACTGTGCACAAAGTGTGGTTGTCGTGGGGTTTCACCTCTTGAGTGTGCGTGTGAGTGTATGTGTATAACTGAGAGTGCGAGCACACTGGCATGAATGAATACCTCTGTATGTTTTTGTACAGTGGTGACACGCTCTTTTTAGACCATTATGATTTTTTATCAGTTTGCCTTGAGACCGTGGTCACAGAGAAGAAGCACATTAATACTTCCATGAAAAGAAGAGTGTGATGTACAATCAACCAAGTCATTCAAAGATATGAAAAACTCACAATCGGAGCACTCACACACACACACACACACACACACACACACACACACATTCTGTGTTGGACCCGCTCCAAGCACCCAAATGTGAACATAGTGTTTTGTCATAATGTTATCTCCTTCCCCGTGTGCATGACTTCCTCTTTATTCTTCTTCACATGCCACGTCTTACTGTGTGAGTCTGCTCAGACATGGTGCTCCTTTCCACTTGTTTGGTGGACAGCTGAAGAAATAGAAGAAATAACAGGTTTGTCCCTCATCTGTTTTTCAACAACTTGGCAATATTTGCTTCAATGTGGCACAAGTGGATCAGTTATACATATTGCATGGACATGTCTTTAGATGTTACAATACTTGTGGTTTATTGTTACAATGGAGGGACACTTAATTGTACTCAAGGCACATTTGTATCCACCAGTACAAGCATACTCTTATACTGGTAAATGCACGATTTGAACACATAATGGCATTCACTGTGGATAAAGCCAGCTGTTACTAGGTTCAGAATACATTCATCCATTACTGTGAACTTCAATGAAAGCAATGCAACTTCCTGTCCACCGTCAGATACTATATGCAAAAGTGTCAATACACTTCTATAAAGTGTGAAAGTAGATGAGCAGGTGAAACAAATACAAAAACGGCTGTGGACTGCAAAAATAATTTCTAGATTGTTGTATCTACATAATAGAGCTCACAGAAAAGACGTTATGATGTGTGTTTTAGTTTTCTGCCAGTCACTCATGCCAGAAACAGATCATTGTTGTAATGACATGCTTAGCTCACCGCTGTAAAAGGGCTTCAGCTCCCACCCCTGCTCTTTAAAACTTCACTGAGAATATTTTAAAGCTGTTTTTATTTGATTTGATTGACTCTGGATGTTTTCTTGGTACATTTAGTATTTCTATGCCGCTCTGTTTTGTTGCTGTTGTCTGGTGTCTCCAATGGAACCACTAATGATCAATAAAGACTTGACTGTTGATGATGATGGTGAAACAAACATTCCTGAGAGTTTACTTGACTAATGACTAATATTATGTGTGGCTCCGTAATTGTGATGAAGATACTTTAAGTCTTTTCTTATGTCACTTCTTTTGTGTGCTGAATTTATCTGACACAAATATCCCAATTGAATTGCTAGTGCTTTAGTTAGGACAATGTTGGTTAAACATGGACACACACCATGCTCGAAAATTCCCTAAGCCTTGCACTGAAACATTAAAATTTTCAAATATTAAGTGGACAAAGACACATTTTTCTTTTTATTCATTCATTGTGCCTGGGAATGTCTGATTTGTCACAATGAATCAATTCTTATTTGACAAGGAAAATGGGCAAAAGCATTGATGAGATTGTGATGACAAGGAAGATAAAATAGTGAACCATATATTTCATTTAAATTTATGCAAGAGTAGGTTGCTTTAGACACATGTACATAACAGCAAGACATGCAACAAATGCAGCAATAAATTATCGCAAGAAAAAATGGAAATAGACAGTTTAAAGTTGAAATGGATGTGGCAACATGATAAACTTTACCTAGAAAAGGAAGTAGCACATACTTGACTAAAAACAGAAATCTAACCTCAGAAGCGTGTGAAATTAAAATTTTTCATGGACCAGGCTTGGATGTAGGCTGCAATGTCATAAAAGCTATTTGGAAATGAATTTAGTTCTGTGTCTGTTTGTAGTGCAATTTAATAAAATCATGGACTCTTCAGACAAATTGAATTGAAAAATACTTATATGAAATATACTTATATGAAATTCCTTTGAATAAACAACTGTTGTTGGCAAATAAATGAACAGACCAAGGACATGGCTTGTCACTTCTTTTTCCAGAAGAAATGTAAGTGGATATGTTTAATGGTTTATGACCAGTCAGTCAGCTGGAACCAGATTGAAATGTGCTGTCATTACATATTACAACTAGTTATCACTGATTCGGCTCGCTGGAAGAAGCCAGAGCTTTTGACTCCATTCCTTTAAGATAGTTCAAGTCGGAAGAACTACTTCACAAATCCAGTGACGTGGGGTAGGGTAAATTCTGGGGGGAAGCCAAGTAAGAGGGGATGTCCTTTGTGGAGGGCAATTATTTAATGCATTGTGCTATTACAGTGCAGAGTATAATACACACGCTGAAAGTTTTATTTACCAAGAGGTACGCTCACTCTCTCTCACCCCAAATAGCATACATAGCCCGCTGCTTATGGTGCAGGTTAAGAATAAAAGAAGCATTCACAAGCTCAATCAGAAGACGATTGAAGACATTTGCATAGTAGCAGTGGTGCATGTATCAAATAGGCCTAGATACTTCTTAATGCTTGGCCAAATGTTCATATAAGGACATCACTGAAGACTAACAACCGAGTACCCGACCAACAGACACTACTAATTGTACTTTTTAGTACAATTATTCAGGTAGCCTGACCTGGCACAGTGCCCTGTGGCAGGTGCTGTCTGTGGTGCTCATTATCTATGCATACACAACCGCAGTAAAAACAATAAGGTAACTTCATCTGACTAGTCATTCACAGCTAAATCCAGGCAAGCAAAGCAAAACAAACAATATAACAACATTAAAAATCCCACAAATAGCTGCAATTCTGGATCTAGTTTTCCTCATTGAACGTCCAAAACCCCTTTTTCCTCTCCAGGCCAGCTCCAGTTTTGGCGTTGGTCTTCCGTCAGATTTAATCTTAAGTTGCTGCAGTAGTGGTAGTTTAGTAAAACTATTTATTATAACTAAAAACTCCAAATCTCCACCCTCCATAACTGCACCAGCTAAAGTTGCTAACAGCTCCTGTTATTTCATCTGACTGGTGTGATTGAGGTGAAGCCAGACAGCGGCTGGCTTCCCTTGGCATCATCCTGACTAATCACAGTTAGGCAGTGGCATAACAGTGGCCTCATCTGATTGGTTAATCATTTAATTTTTTTTCACAAAGGGATGCCAACTCTGCCTGGCCTCCTCGCTGGTGGTATAATATAGTGTTTCACCACACATCCAACTCGTAGCATTTAGAGGGGCGCTGTTTCACTTACGGTAAGATAATGAGAAATGGGAAAGAGATGACCACAACAGCTTATAAGATTTATGGAAACTATAAACATTGTGTTTTTATTGAAATGATAGAGTCTGATAAAAACAGGGGAAGCCTGGCTTTCCTTGGCTTCTGGGAGAAAACGCCACTGCACAACTCAGGAAATGGGACCATCTGAGGAGCATGTGAATGCACAGTGAGCCGCTGGTTGAAATTTGCAACCCTCACCACTAGAAGCCACTAAAACTTAGGCTACACATGGAACCTTTAATGGCTAGATTCCACAGGGTGTGCCAGCATCGCTGCAATGCGGCTGCTAGAACTGGTCCGTGGCCCGTCTGGACTATTGTGGGAGACACATCCCACAATCCGGGGAGGACACATCTGGACGCAGAGTAGCCTGCCAATGTACTCTCAGGCTAGTGGGGACAAAACTGCAAGTTGGGCAGTGCTTAGCTGTAGATTGTGCTGTTTTCAACATTGGCCAGGTCAGAAACGTTCTCATATTAGAGGTAAACAATACACTAAAATACATTTCTGAAAATAATTGAGGGGAGAAATAGGCAATCCAGTAACATAATCTTGAATTATATTTGATCAGCACTGATTAGTTTTACAGTTGTGAGTTTCCTGAGCCTGGTGGATTGTGTTGGATGGGCTCATTTGCATAAACTTACAAGCAAGTCATTTTTATGCAAATTCAGAGACAGCAAATGGTCAGTCAAACAGCACAGAGCAGATGAACCAAGTAGTAGCAGGCTACCTGTAATGTGCAGCTTAGCAAATTGTTATTTGTTTAAAAGGAAAATTTGGCACTTATGTGGATGTCCAGCCATTGTTGATGGTAAATGTAGTATACTGAAGCAAAAAATACCTCAGTGCATGATATATTGACAGAGAAAGGGAGGTCGTCCAAGTCCTGATGTCGGCCGGACATTGTAAAATGCGTGTTGCAATTATGGTGTCAGAGGAGGGGAAAGACAGTAATAGTTGACTGTTGTCCATGTAACAGTGATAGGAGAAGCTGTATGATTTGATTACAGAGCCTTGAGCTCTAGTATAAGGAGCACAAAAGTGGGCCTATTACTGATCCTTGGAGGGCACCAGTGTCAAGAGAGCCAGGTTTAGACAAAGAGACGAGAGTAAATTTATTTACAACAACAATGCACACACAAACTTCTCCCAGGACTTGGACAATATGTGATAATCTTTGCCAGACACTGACACCACCTGCTGGCTGTAGACTCATCCAGCGTTCAGTGTCTTCCAAAACGTGTATACCAACAAGTCCACAGGTGCAGACAGACTGCCAGCTTTTTTGCTCAGAAGCTGTCTAGGGGAACTAACACCAGCATGGTGTCCCATATTCCAACGGACCACCACCCCAGCTTTGTGGAAGACGTCTATTATAACACCAGTGCCTAAAAAGCCCTCTGCTACAGTGAATATCCCATAGCTTAGACTTCTATTGTAATGAAATCCTTTGAGAAACTTGTAGTTTCCCAAACTTGTAGTTTCCCAGCTCAAGGTAGAAGTCCAGCTAGCGTTAGACAAGTGGCAATTTGCCTATAAACATGAATGCAGCACTGACGACGGCATCCTCTGTATTTCGCATATTATCTCTAAGCACCTTGAGGACACAAAGAATTTTATTTATTCGTCTTAGTTCGTCATTTAACACTGTGCAACCCTCTCTGCTTCTAAAGAAACTGAATGATATGAATGTTAACTCTGCCCTGATCAAATGGTTTTATTCTTTTTTAACTAACTAACTAACTAACTAACTAATATGGGGGTCCCACAAGGTTGTGTTATCATCCATACTTTTCACATAGTATATTGATGACTGAAGGAAAATACACCCAAACAATTAAATTATAAAATTTGCAGTTGACACGGCAATTCGGAGCCTTCTCCACATAGAAACGAACCCTTCTGTGTACCACAATGAGGTAGACACTTTTATCAAGTGGTGTGACACCCACTATCTTATTTTAAATGTCACAAAAGAACAGGAGATGGTCCTCGACCCGAGGCAAGTGATTGACCATGAGTCAGTGGTCATCAAAAACCAGAAAATCATTCAGGTGTCCTCTTACAAATACTTAGTTGTCCACATAGACAATCTTCTCGGCCAGAAAACACATATTGACCACCTGTGCAACAGACTGCAGCATAGACTATACCTTTTAAGATGACTGAGACTGTACTGAGCAGCTGAACACTAAAACTAATAGTTTTAACCAGCACTTTTACATCTAGCACCTTAATTTTGACCATCACTTTTTAAAATGTCGTATTGTATGTACAGTCAAATACAGTGGTTTGAAAAAGTGTTTGCCCCCTTCCTGATTTCTTATTTTTTTGCATGTTTGTGACACTGAAATGTTTCAGATCATCAAAAAAATTGAAATATTAGACAAAGATAACAAGTAAATACAAAATGCAAAAAAGAAAGGTTTTTATTATTAAGGGGGGAAAAATCCAAACCTACATGGCCCTGTGTGAAAAAGTGATTGCCCCCCCATTAATCAACTGTGGTTTATCACATCTTTGGAAAGCTGAGATCAATTTCTCTAGCCACACCCTTATTACTGGCACCCCTGTTCTTAATCAAGAAATCACTTATATAGGACCTTCCTGACAATGTAAAGTAGACCAAAAGATCCTTAAAAGCTAGACATCATTCTGCGATCCAAAGAAATTCAGGGACAAATGAGAAACAGAGTAATTGAGATTTATCAGTCTGGAAAAGGTTATGGCTTTAGCCATTTCTAAAGCTTTGGGACTCCAACGAACCACAGTAAGAGCCATTATCCACAAATGATGAAAACATGGAACAGTGGTGAACATTCCCAGGAGTGGTTGGCCGACCAAATTTACCCCAAAAGCGCTGCAATGTTTCATCCAAGAGGTCATAAAAAACCCCACAACAACATCCAAAGAACTGCAGGCT